GGGGTGTAACCAGTCAGTGAGGTCGCAGAGGGGGAACATGTCCGACCACACAGGTTTCTTTGATACAATAAAAGTATAAAGACCATATTTCAGACAAACAGAGGACATGTGTCCCAAACAGACTTAGCTGACAGTCATTAGACAACAAAACAAGGCAGACCCACCATCCTCTCCTATTAACTGAGGTGAGCATGAAGCTCAGAAGGGATATGTGTTTGGGGAGGGCAACAGAAATAGGAGAATGGCAACATGAGAGGGAGGCTAAAGGGGGCACAGCGGGGGGAACATGGCTGCGAAAACAAATGATATAAACACCTTTAATCTTGGTTAGTCAGCTTCACATTAGTTAAAGCTCATATTTCCCTCAGTTGTGGGTTCTAAAAGATACTCTTGAAGGAATCCCCCCCATGCATATGTTTAGAGAAATGCAGAGAAAAGCTCTGCTCACTACTGACAGATAATCCTGATCCTAAGCCGGCGCTCCGTGCCGCAGCACAGACCCAGCAGCAGATCCACCCTCAGTCTTAGCCAATGTGTTCAGTGGCTGCTGAAGCCAGCCATTCAACTGGCTGCTCTCATCTCCAAGGAAGAGAGCCACACGCTTTTAACCCTTTCTCTTTCCTCTCTAGAGAGAGAGTGTAGAAAAACCGCCACGTGAGTCACAAGCTGCGGCTGATTGAGCGTTTACATTTCGCTGCCTTTCACACGAGCTGCACTCATTCACGTATTTTTCAGTCTCATTTTATGATGCATGTTTTGGGTAAACAAAGGAAAGCTGGTGTTGAGGAGAACAGACTGTTCCACTATAATGGGGTCACAGTCACGTCAAAACAATTATGCTTTGTTATTATGAGGACGTGCGGCTCCACACCTCGATACATTCATCATCCCTGCTCACATTCATGACTTTAGAAGTTTATGGATTCAAATATTGAAACATTTCCAATCACATAAATATCTAAAATCATAGTTTATTAGATGGCAAAGGGGTTTTAGTTTTATCCTCAATTAGTGTGGTTTCCTAATGGGGATTTAAAGGTTTGGGGGGTATGAGCTCATTCCTTAATATTAACTAGACAGAAATTTGGCCATAATTAATATTTACATTTAAATAAGCAGTAGAGTCCTAAAATTAATCTGACACATAATCTGGGGTGTATGAAATGGACATTTATTATACTGATTATTGCTGGGGACTACTTTAATAATTAATTTTTTATTAAATAATGAAAACCAAAATTGTGATAAAAATACATATAGTTTTTAATGTTTTCTATCTGAAATAAACATGTTTCTAATGAAACTTTGATTTAAACTATTTCAGATATAATAATACATTAAAATTGCCTCTTTCTAAGAATGCCCCCTCCATAATACTAACAAAGTTTTAAAAATGCTCAGTTTATAAGGCTTAAGCTGTATTTAAAGGGGCCCAGTCATGTACTATGACTTTACTAACTTCCACACTAGTAGTTTATTCTGGTTACATACAAAATACTTCCAATCAAATGCTCCTGTTGGCTTATCTTAGAAAATCACCATCTATGTGATGTAAAATTATCTTTTTGCATTTTAAACACAATCTAAAAAAAAAAAAAAAAAAAAAATTTTCTTAAATTGGAAATATACAGACTGGTTTTATGTGATTTTATTTTTTTGGCTAAACAAAAGACACAAATATTTGTTTAAAAATATACCTGGAAGAAAATTGTCGAAAATTTTATTTTTTCTTACACATTTTTTTTTAAAACTAATATAGTTCAAGATGGAATCAGTTGCGTATATCAGTGCTCCTACAAACTTTGTGCTGCAGTTTAATAAATACAAATCCCTCACCTTTCATGGTTCATCTGACTTAGCAATGTGAAACATGATTTTGTTAACTTACATCCTGGAAGGCTCCAATAATAGCAACAATAGTGATCCCAATGAAGGAGAAGGAGATATCTTAACATTTGAGACATTAGGAGGGTTATCTTTCTGAGGGGAACAGGATCTTCTGAGGGAATTTTGTTGTTGTAGTTTTTTCCTTGCAAATTTTTACACACATGCAAACTTGGATTGTTATTGTAGTTTGGCTAAAAAGTTATAAGGACAAAAGAGGCATTTTCAAACACCAATGCATGTAATTTGAACATTGTCAGCATCTTTATACTTGGTAAATTCACCAAACAGCAATAAATCAATGGGGGGTTTTAAAAAGACAGTTGGACTTAGATCTGTTGATTCTTTTCCTCCCAGTCTGGTTCCAGTGACAGCGGTCAGATCCTGACTGATCTCCTGTTATGCAGTTTGTCCAAAGTACAACAGGATCGCATGAAGACTGAGCAGCTAAGCTGCAGAAATACCTGGCTCTTTATCTCATTAGATGAGGTTTCACAGGGAAAGAAGGTGGGGTAGGGCTGCAGAATGAGACCTCCAGTCCCTGAGGCTCTAAAACAGACCGTACCAACAAACCAATGTTACTTCAGGCCCCGAGCGACAGCTACGAATACACCCTGTTAAGATGGAGCCAACAGAGGCGAACAAAGCCATCTGAGCTGTGTGCCAGCCAACACAGAGCCTAACCAAGCTGGGACATGGAAAACAGCAGAAAAGAGACAGCTTAGCAGCCAGAACGCAAGACGGTAAAAAATAGCTTTTTCTAAGAGCAGAAAAAACAACAAAAGTCTACTTATGCAAGCTTAGGTGACTGTCAACCTTTTTCTAAACTGAAGTGCAGATTTCTGTCAAAAAAAAAATAAAACAAAATAAAAAGGAGTCCAAGATTTCATAAACCACACTGTTTCAGTAACCTTTTTTAATTTTTTTAGGTTTCCTTATAGGGCAGCGATGAAGCGACAGCAGACTCAGAGCATT